TACGACCCTTTTCCCCAGGGAGCGCTTCTTGTGGTGGTATCATTCTCGGGCGACGCGGGTTTTTGTGTCCATTCCCAAAAGCAAGCGTTATCCCTCCCCTTGCGGCGAAGCGCGGAGGTGAAGGGCTTTCACCTTAATACAATTATGGGGGGGCAGACCGGCGTCCACTTGGAAAGGCCCTCCCCTTTGGTTCCCCCCCCCCCCCCCCCCCGTTCCTTCGTTTTGGTTCTGAGTGTTTGTTTGGTGTTTGCTGACGCGGTGTGCAAGATGGTGGATCCGAAAATGAACTTCCACTTCATCGTCGGCCTCATTGTCTTCGTTGCTCTGATCTTCCAGCCAGCGTTGGGGGCCATCCACCACGAACGCTTTAGACGGTTGCGGCGTCGGCAGTATTGGACATATATCCATCTGTCCAACGGCCGATTCTTTTTGATGGCGGGCATCGTGAACGGTGCGTTGGGGCTATGGGTTACTGGGAACTGGACCCTGCTTAGAGTTGGGTACCTCGCGGCGGCCGGAACCATATGGGGGCTGTGGTTTTTGGTGGCGCTATGGAAGGAGATTGTCATCTGCGGGGAGTCCGGTCTGCCTTGGATAAACTACGATAGTGAGGGAGGAACTCCCGTGTTGAAGTTGGTTGTGGGGTTTGGGGGGCAAGAGTTGACCTTTAGAATGACCATTTAGAATAACTAACCATAGATCTACAATCAGATTGACTCTTGGATTGACCATCAGATTGATCATTGCATTGACCATTGGATGATCACCCGACAAGCAGGAAGTTACATGTTGTATTCAAAACCAAGGTGATTTATATGCCAAAGCATCAACGCTGTTGTTCTCTGCTACCAAACACTAGAAGATCCTGACAAATCTGGATGTTTCGACGGAGTTAGATCGACAATCGGAGTGGAAGCAGCTGCTGGCACTTTCAGCTTTTTTTTTTTGTTCTCAATTGGTAAAGTTGAGGTTTGGCCGATTTATTATGCACTGTGTAGTGTACTGTATCACAGAGCGTGCGTGGGCGACAGCAGCTATCACCGCGTAGAACCGTAAAACTCACACTGTATGGGTCTCAAACGAAACCAAGCAGTTCTCAATTCTCATCTTTTCATCCTACAGCCAAGTTAGAGCCCAGCACCCATCGATGGCCGCCGCTTCACCCTCTCGCGACTGACCTCCGGCCCCCGAACCCGGTTGGTTGCACGGGATTGCACGGCCCTAGCGGAGGCGGCGATACCTATCGTTGGCGTCGCCGCCGAGATGGCCTTGGATGAGACTCCGACATTCGAGACCCCGCGCCCTCCGGCAGCGGCCGACAAGCCCGTTGAGGATGCGGTTGCCGACCTGTTGACTCTGGTCATCACCACGTCGCCAACCCCTTCGGCACCCTCGACAGACCTTCTCTCCCAGATACTCACCTCGTTCCGTGAATTCTGCCCCGAGCTGAGCCGCTGCAGAGTCATCCTAGTGCTCGACACATACGATCACATCAGCTCGACTGCACGGCTCAAGAAGGGCCATGTCACGGCAGAGGGAGCCAGAAACTATGCCGAGTACAAGAATAACGCGAAGCGGCTTATTCTCGACGACTACGCACCCGGCAGAACGGAACACCGTTTAGAGGACTTGTTGGAGGACTACGACGAAGCGGAGTACGGCTCCACCGCCTACGCACAACAGACGAACACGGTGCCGCTGGCCATCACCAAAACCGAAGATGAGCGCATCATATTCGTCGAGCCCCTCCAACGCCTGGGTTTCGGACTTGCCGTACGCTCGGCCCTCAGGCTGACCAAGACGCCCTACGTCTGGATCCAGCAGCACGATTGGGCCTTGGTGTCGGACATCCCCCTCCGCCCGCTCCTCACCATCATGCAGCAGCACTCGCAGCCCACCGCCGCTAACCTGGACGATTTCGAGACCGCCAAGGTGCCCGTCAAATACGTCTGCTTCCCCTCGGTCCGGATGCTCGAGTACGCCAAATCCGACCACGTCATGCAGTTCCCGGCGCTGCGGGCCCTGACCAACCTACACAAGCAGAACTTCTCTGTCGCCAAACTGGGCGACGACGGCGGCGGCGGCGGCACCGTCCAAAAGATATCGCTCACGCCGCTCTTCTTCTGGCACGACAAGCCGCACGTGGCCGAGACGGCGCACTACCTGGCCCGGGTATTCCCGGACCGCGCGGCGCTGCCCCGCGGCGCCTTCATCGAGGACACCATCGGCCACCGCGCCCGGACCGTAAAAAAGGACGCCCAGTGGCGCAAGTGGGCCTGCTGGTTGCACTACCCGGACGAGGGGAGGCGGCTGTGCGTGCGCCATCTTAAGGGGCGCACCTGGCGGGGCACCGAGGGCGAGCTCGCGCAGAAGTTGGAGTATATGCGGTTGAATCGGGGGGGTGGTGTGCTTGATGTGAGGGTTGAGGGGGTGGAAGTGCTCGATGTCACGGTTCAAGGGGGTGAGGTGGTTGATGTCAGAGTTGAGAAGCAAATACACTAGTTGTTGAATACAATCAATTGTAGACTCTCACGGGACTGAATTTGGAAGCTGAGGCCGATCCCCTCTAGAGGCGCCTCGTGGCAAGGGGCTTCCCCCACTCCGAGATGGGCTTGTCCGTTGGCACCAGCCACACCACGCCGCCATCCCATCCATTCCAGCTATCGCTCTGTTTGACGTCAGCTACCGACTCTTCTGACAGCTTGACTCCGGCCTGCATGAATATGACCGTGATCTCTCTCAGGGCGCCATCCATGATGGCCTCGTTCCCGCTGCGACTCTGTTACCATTTCATGTTTTCGGAAGAGAGCCGAATCAAACTTACTACACGAGACTAACATGCGGTCCAAATTCCTCCCTCCACGAGCTCAGCCTGTACGGTGTCAGCGTCAACGTCCCGTGGTGTTCCACCGTCAACCACGCCAACATCCCCTATACCACCCCTCACCACAACAACAAACAACACGCAAAACACAACCACAGCAAACCAAGAAACTAAAAACTCACCACTTCTCCGTCTCCTCCCCAAACCTCACCACCTTCCCCCCTCAATTCCACCTGCACCTTCCTCCCCCGCCACCCCCACAGCCCTCGCAATCCCAGCCAACGCCCTCATCCCCTCAAACGCCACCCGCACAAAACACCGCCTATAAAACACATTCTGTCCCTCTACCCTCTCAAACCTCACCCTCGCCCCCCCTTCCCGAGCCCCCTCCTAGAAACGTTACTCTAACTATTTCTCACCAGCTGAATCTGCCTCACAACCAGGCAGTCCCCCACGCGAAGGCTATC